AGAAGGGAATGGCAATCCACTCCAGTATTCTTGCCTGGAGAATTCTATGGACAGAGGAGGCTGATGGGCTATAGTCCACGGGGTTGCAAAGAGTCGGACACAACTGAACAATAACTCATACACACACTGCTGAGTTATCAGACTTCATCACATATGCTGTCTCCCCCACTGGGGTGTTATCCCTCAGAGTGCAGGGGCCTTGTCTAGACAGCCTTATACCCTCCTAGGGTCTAGGATATGTCCTGCACATACCCCTTCAGTATTTTTGAATAAAACTTAAACAAAAATAAATTTTATCATTCATTTAGCAGTTATCTGTAAAACTATATTCTGATTAAATGGTTAATATGCACTTTGGTTACTTTATTTCTCTTAATGTATGTGTATGGTGGTTTAGTCGCTAAGTCATGTCCAACTCTGTCGACCGCATGGACTCTAGCCCACCAGGCTCCTCCTCTGTCCATGGAATTTTCCAGACAAGAATATTGCCTTTTCTTTCTTTAGGGGATCTTCCCAACCCAGAGATTGAACTTGGGTCTCCTGAATTGCAGGCAGAGTCTTTACTGACTGAACCCCCTGTGCCTCTTACATCTCCTACATTGGCAGTCAGATTGTTTACCACTAGTGCCACCTGGGAAACCCATCTCTTATTGTATTTATGTAAAAAAAGGAATTGAGACCAGGGAAGTAAAATTGCCAGGCACCTTGCTTTAAACAAAGCTTCCCGAACACTCTATACCACCATTTGGTGGGAGAAAAAACTCCACTTCCCACCTGAAAAGAAACAGGGTTAGCTTATAGAACAATGTCCAGAGTGGATGGCAATCGAGGGGATGGGAGGAGGACCCGATGGAGGAACTGTGTTTTCCTCTGATTAGCCACGTGATGCTGTGAGTGGTTGCTTTTTGGTGCTTGGCCTAACAGCAGAGGAAGCCTTCTTTGTGGTTTTGTGAACAAGCACATCATGATAAACTCTGGGTGCTGTCCTTGGCCATGGCTCTATTTGTGGGCTAGTAATTTAGGCTGTGGGATATTCCCATCAGAACAATGCAGGTTTTGGAGGAGAAAAGTCATGGTTTTATTAGCATAAGTGCGACAGACACACACCCACACACATTGCATTGTTTCACCCTTTTGCTGATTCCTGGTCCAGTCCAGCCTCCTTGGAAGCCCTTAGCTGCAGTGTATTGCCTATGGCTCAAGAGAGGGTCCTTAGTATTAATACAAAATTGCACTTGGCATCTGATGGTGAGCACTGGATCTTTTCATCCAAGTCGACTTTTCTAAGCAACACCAACAGTCCAGGTTCTGAGGGCCCTGCCCCAGTCAGATCCCTCCTGCCTTCAATGTTCATTTCTTTGTTTCTCCTTCCTTCCCTGCCTTGCCAGTTTTCTGAGCCAACCCATCAGTTTCTTGTGGCTCCTTTTGTCTCCTCCAAACACACGTCAGCACATCCACACTCAAATATGCACACTTGAGGGTGCTGGCCTAGATCCCTGGTGGAAAGTGGCTCTTGAGGAATTCAGAGAATGCACACTGAAGCCATGTGCTGAATAGCCTTGCCGATAGGCAGAGTTGGCATCAGTCCATTTAATATAGAATTGAAGGATGAGGCAAGTCTCCCTACCATCCATTCTACAATCTCTCTCCACTTGACTCCTGAAATTCCTATGTGAAAAGAGAACTACTATAATTTCTAAATTAGAAATCAAGACTTTACGTATGACCGATCATCAGAAATAGGATAGAGCTATTTGGCCCAGTCTGGGATGAATCAGCAGTTACATAGATGTCACCTCTTAGTCCAGCTGAAATCACAACAGAGGCTGCTTGCATGGAACACTATTGAGAATTCCGGGGCCACATCTGGGTTTTGTGGGGGAAATAATGCAGGGAGGTATTAGGAAGGTCTGAGATAGTCATGGGATCGGCTAGTGGGAGCATCATAATATTGACTTTACACACAAATGGTTTCTTGGAGGGCTACAGTGAAATGCTATTAGCTGTTAACATCCTGGCATGAATTAAATTATTAATGTCACCTGTCACCTGTCAGCGCTCTAAGGGAATGGAGTCAGAGGATTGGTGAAGTTTTTTTTAATGGCTTATTCTTCCTTTTTTTATTAAGGTAAAATTTATATCATGTAAAATTCATCATTTGGACCATTTTAAGGTGAACAATTCAGTGGCTTTTAGTTGTACAACTATCACCACTATCTAACTCCAGAAATTTTCATCACCCTAAGAGACACCATGTATCTATTAAAGTCACTCTTAATTCTCTTCTCCTCTCAGCCTGTGGCAGTGACCACAATATGGATGGGCTTCTCAGGTGGGGATAATGGTAAAGAACCCACCTGCCAATGCAGGAGATTTAAGAGATGCGGGTTTGACCCCTGGGTGGGGAAGATCCCCTAGAGAAGGAAATGGCAACCCACTCCAGTATTCTTACCTGAAGAATTCCATGGACAGAGGAGCCTAGTGGGCTACAGTCCATGGAGTTGCAAAGAGTTGGACCCAACTGAGCAACTAATACTTTTGCTTTCAGGACTCAACCACAGTTTCCAGTCCCCAGGGATCTTCTGCTTCTACCACAGCATCTATACTCATCAAGGTAGGGGACACTAGATGTACCTGGCAGGTTGCTTTGAACTTTCTAGGCCCCCTAGGATAATCTCTACTGCGTTATGAAGTCTCTAGAAATGAGGGAAAGCGGGAGTCTTCCTTAGTTCAAAGCCCAGGACCAGTTTAGTCACTATCTGTGGAATCCCAAATGTATCTTATGCACCAGGAAGTTCTGTCCTTTGGTACATGGTCCAGGTCCCAGGTGGAGACAGTCTGGGGCCGGTGACTTGAGAGAACTGTGCCTGTCAGCAAGGAAGCAGACAACAATGACAGGAAGAAGTGATGGGATTTTCAAGGGGGTCTGAAACAATTCCTTGTGTATCTTGTTTTACTCTTCCTGGGGCCTCCTATTTGTTCCTGAGCACATATTTGAGGCAAAGCCCAGGAGGTCTCATATTAGTCCTTCCCATGTGGCCAGCCTGAGAATGACAGATGGTGGGTACCCCAGGCCAGTGCAGGGAGGGTGTGTCTGCAGGCAGAGGGTGTGTCTGCAGGTGCAGAAAGAGGTACAAGGCCATTACACCTAGGGTGTGTACCATGGTGTGGGCTTTGATATCTGTTCTCTGTTTTCTGTTTCTGCCCAGTGTTGAGCAGCTCCCATAAGGTTCTTCCCACCCGAGTCTCCAATTCCTATCTCCCACACCAACTCCAAGACCCGTAGGCTGGGTCCTGCCACTACCTCCCCAGCCTGGGAATAGCTTGAAATCCTCTGGCTTATTTTCTCCCCATTCCAGGCCAGTGAGATTTGTAAAGTACAAAGTACAAAAGGACCACGTGTGAAGTTCAGTGTCAGATGATGGCCATGTTACCAGCAGCTTGATTCCTCTTGATTTCTAAGCAGTTTCCACACAACCATAACGCAAAGTCACATGGTCTTGCCATGTGGTTGAGATATCTAGGGACGTGATTCTGCTTTGTTCTGGGTGACTCATCTTGAACACACCAAAGGGAAGGTCTATTAGTGCTCCGAAATTACCTGGGCAGCCTTATGTGCCCATTTGAAGGGGCTAGTGGTCTGGGGATTTCGAGAAACCATCTTGGCATGCCCCTGAGGAATGCCAAATCCTCCAGCCTCATCATGGCAGGAAGATTGAGGTGAGGTCTTCTTTCTCATCTTTGCTAAAGGTGAGTGGCTCCTCATCTTTTGAGGTGGCATTTTCTGCCCTAAGGGGCCAGGCTGGATGTGTGTGGAGGTACATGACTATGTTGGTTTGGAAAAAATCAGATGATATCAGCAATGACAGTGCAGGAGGGGACAAACACAGGGTAAGATGTCACCAGCAATGTGCCAAAACTCTGAAGGCAGCCTCCTTGTGGGAGTGGGTGAGAACTCTCAGATGGGAGGAGGGAGCTGCATTGCTGGAGTTTGCTTTCGCAGTGACTTAGGTTTGGTTCTTTTTTATGATGGGAGATGAAAAGGGAAGCTGATTTTCAAAGTAGGGTCTCTGGATCATGAAAGAGGATATACATGGAAGCTTCTAAGACAGTCACATGGAGTATAGAGAACAGACTTATGGACATGGGCAGGGGGAGGAAGGAGAAGGTAAGGTGAATGGAAAGAAGTATCATGGAAGCATATACACTACCATATGTAAGATAGACAATGGCAATTTGCTATACGACTCAGGGAACTCAAATCAGGGCTCTGTAACAACCTAGAGGGGTGGGAAAGGATGGGAGGTGGGAGGGAGGTTCAAGAGGGAGGGGACATAGGTATACCTGTGGCTAATTCATGTTGATGTATGGCAGAAACCAATGCAATATTGTAAAGCAATTATCCTTCATTAAAAATAAAATCATTATGAATATTCCCAAAAAAGAACAGTGACAGTTTAGGGGTTAGCAAACATTGTAGGCGAGCTAAGCCCTTTTGGGGGAGGGGGCAAGGTTGGTGAGGGTCATCCCGACAGATGTTCAGACCAGAGATGGCAGCTAGGAACTGTTTCCCAAAGAGTTCCTCAGGGTCACATCAGAGAGAATGGAGAATGACAATGGGAGGAGTCCCTACAACTAAATCACTTTGTGAAGTTGCTCAGTCGTTTCCGACTTTTTGTGGCCCTATGGACTGTAGTCTGCCAGGCTCCTCTATCCATGGGATTTTCCAGGCAAGAATACTGGAGTGGTTACCATTTCCTTCTCCAGCGGATCTTACCAACCCAGGGATCAATTCTGGGTCTCCTGCACTGCAGTCAGACTCTACTGTCTGAGCCATCAGGAAACCTCTTTAGTTCCTGTCTTGTCACAAGCCACGTTGTTTCATGACACTGTTTTGTCCCACTTTAGACAAACTACGATTCCTTTTGCCCAGACAGACTGAGATGTGAGCTGGCAATGGTACCCTCCATTCTCCCGCCCCCCACAGCCTGGACACTCACCCGCACCAGGTCTGGTGTGAGTCGCTTGGCCTGCAGCCATTTCTGGAACCTCCCTGTTTTCCGCAGGACACGCTCAATACTGCAGGTCTTGGGGGCAGCTGCGGAGGCACAGATTCTCCTGTCTGAGATCTTGTTTTGCTGTTTGCTGACCAGCCTTGAGATCTCCACAGGGCGCCAGGTTTTGAAATCATCTGAGTAATTTGCAGAGTAAGAAGGCAAGTTGTCAGGAGGTGGTCCAAGGTTTAAGGCCAGCCCGTTGTCAAACCTGAAAAAGTATCAGCCATTTTCAGATCAGCCTGGGAGCCAGAGGGAAGGAGTTAGACGGGGACCAGTCACACTGCCAGAGTCAGCAGAGCCGGGGACAGGGACATAGGGGCCCACATCTGCTCGGATCCATTTCTTCTCCTTAGACTGGGGTGCTCCAGGCTCTTTCTGGCAAAGGACTATTTTTGTTTTCTCAGGCTTAAGGAAGTTTATATGTGATGTCAGAAAAGGTGAGGGATCTGCATACCGGACACAAACTTCATCTTCTTCATTCTTCACTTAACTTGCTTTCTGTGAAGGCAGCAGCTTTACCCACGCTGGTACCTTGTTTCTCCTCATGTCCCATCACCACAGATGTGGAAGCAGGCTTACAGAGCTTAAGTGCCTTGCCTAAGGTTAGATAATATGTGGCTAAGCAGGGCTGCAAACCCAGGGCTCTCTGTCAGCAAAACTCATGATCTTTCTCCTTTGTTACCCTTGTTCTAATTGCGGCATGTGGAATCTGGTTCTCTGGCCCTTTGCATTGGGAGTGCGGAGTCTTAACCACTGGACCACCAGAGAAAACCTGAAACTATAGTTCTTGAAGAAGCTTATCCTCCTGCATTGGGGAGAGCACTACCCCCCTCATATCCACCCCAAACGGCCCCATCTATTTTTCTTTTGGTCCAAAGATTTAAGTTTGTGGTCCCAGCCAACTGTCAGGGAACAGTGGATGTTAAAGGGTCAGCAGACTCAAAGCTATCTGGGATCCAGGAGGTGTGTGATTCCACACAATGGCCTGGGAAGTGCTAGATGCTCCCTAGGGGAGAGGCACTGGCCTATTACCATTTGCTGATTTTCTACACCCACCCCACAGTGACCCTTTTCTCCAGTCATGTCTCTAGCTGTGTGCCAACATTTCCATCAGGAAAGAATGCTAAATCTTCTTCTCATTCATGTATGAAAGTTACTAAGAAAATTGTGTATCTTCATTATTATTGAGGGCAATATACTGCAAATGAAAATTAGGTGTATATGTTATATATTTAATTTCTTTTTTTAAAATTTCTTTTTAAAAAAATAAATAATTATTTTATTGAAGTATAGTTGAATTACAGTGTTGTGCTAATTTCTACTGTATAGCAAAGTGATTCAGTTGCATGTATATATACATTGTTTTCCATATTCTTTTCCAGTATGGTTTATCACAGGATATTGAATATAGTTCCCTGTGCTACACAGAAGGACCTAATTTTTAATTTAATTTCAATAAGAATCTTTAAATTCTTATTATTGGACATTACTGGGCAACCTCATGATAATGAGTTTTCGAGGAACTAGCTCCACATCCTACATTGTAATTTTTTCTCACTTATATGACACAGTTACCCTAAGAGACTGCAGGCTTTCCTAAGAAGATGCTCTAAGAAACTGTCAGTCAATACCTTCTGTGATACTGGACTGTTCAAACTTCAATGGAAATAGGCACAAAGAACTCTGTTCCAGGACATTGCCACAAATCTGTTTAAAAAGACCAAACGCTAAAAACTTGCAAAGAATCAATTTTACTGGCATTTTTAGGACAATCATGGAAATTGATCCTCCCCACTGGGAGGATAAGGAAGGGCCTAGGGCCCTGAGGCAGCCCTGTCTGTTTCCTGTAGCTGCTCTTGTTCATGCGGGTTCAAACCACTTCTCTCCAAGGGCCTGTAACTAAGGGTCTACAACCAGGTGGCTTTTTTAGATAATAATAATAGCAATACACATTTATGAATCACTTTAGCAATCACTTTGCTAAACACTTTATGTGCCATAATTCAGTTATACCTTTCAACAAACCTATGAGGTCAGCGCTGCTGTTATCATGCAGATAAGGAAACTGAGGCACAGAAATGTTAAGTGCTTTACTTCAAGTCACACAGCCAGGAACTGGAGGAAGTAGCCTTCAGGGCTCCAGAGCTTATACTTTGAACCACTTTGCTGCTACTTAGTCCTTTATCATCCATTTTATGAATTAGCTCTTGGGAACAGGCTGGTAACATTATTAGGGGTTATAGCTGTGTGCTAAGTCCCTTCAGTCGTGTCTGACTCTTAGCGACACCATGGACTATAGCCCACCAGGCTCCTCTGTCCATGGGATTCTCCAGGCAACAATACTAGAGTAGATAGCCATGCCCTCCTCCAGGGGATCTTCCTGACCTAGGAATCAATAGGGAAGAGATAGGGAAAGAAGGAAAGGTGACATCATCCACCAATCATGTGCCTTCAGCCTACCCAGTCAGCCTTAGGAGCTCACTCTCTGTTGCTGAACAACAAGCATTGTCCAGTTCTTAGTGGGGACAGGTCCTGGAGTGCTAATGCTTGTCTGGTAAGCATTTCAGCTTACCATCTTAAAGTCGGGGATGGGTTTTCTCATAAGGTAGCATCATGATCATTTTTCAAAGTGGAGAAATGTTTGGAGATGAACAAGAACAAGATCAGCAAACACACCTTTGGAAAGAGAGGCGAAGGATGTGAATTTGCAGACCATTTAACAAAGAAGAAATACAAAAGGCCAAGAAGTCTGAAAAAAGGGCTCAACTCCAAAGCATATACAAAGCAAAAATAATAGTAATAGTAAACATTTCCGAGTGTGCAAGAAGTAAACTCTATAGGAAGAAGTCTCCATTTGGATATATATCCACATATGTCTCAAAATTCTAAAAATTCACTATAGTTTTTGACCCAGAAATTTTACCCTTTAGAATTTGTTATAGGAATTAATTATTGATATGCATAAAAGTCTAACCACAAGGAGGTTCAACATAGCACTGTTTTTAATAACATAAAGTGCAAAAAACCCTAGTTGTCCCACCACAGTGATTTAGTTAAATAAATTAGGATTGACTGATGCAATCGAACACCATGAAACCACTAAAAATAAAATTGTGGGGAATAGTTAATGTAGAAAAATCTTCCCGATATATTGTTAAATAAAAGTTTCCAAAAGAGTGCATAATATGCTCACATTTTTGTTGAAAAAATTTTAATCCACACTTAGCAAAAAGGTAGTAAGGGTCATACACCAGAATGTTAATGAAGCGGTGATCCTTGGTGAGGAATTGCCTGAGATCTTTATTTTGTGTTTTCTTTAATTGATATTTCCTGAAGATTCTAAAATAAAGAGATATCACTTTTAAAATAAGGAAATAACTATTTACAATGTAGAGAAAAGGACTATAAACAAGTCTACATTTCCAGACCCATTCACTGGCCTCAGTTTCCTTGCATTGAGAACGTGACTTCTCAACGTGAAGTGTTCCAGACCCTAACCTGCTCTGCCTGGTGATTTCCTGCTTGGATCTGCACATTTCCCTTTCAGGCAGGCACATGTGGAAAATGAATTCTGAGGGAGCTGAAGTAATATCCTGAACTCCAACTGGAACACAAACCTATTTGGGGAAATGCTTCCTGAATTTGGCCATTACTTGCCTGATGAGAAAAGCCTCATTTCTTTCCACTTGGTGAAGAGTCGACTGTAAGATTCATATATTCTTGTTTACTTATCTGGAGGAGGAGGTGAATCTGGAGCTCTTCCTCAGGTGAACCCCTTAATTTCCCTCCCTCCTATCTTAAAATATGTCCGTATTTTCACTGCCTTCTTTCTCTAAGGAATCAGTCCAACCCACTTCCCCTGTGTTACTGGTTTTATTCATCCCATTTCTTAGGTGGGAATTCTTGAGTTCATTTTCCACATCTCCATCTTTTTTTCCTCTCACACTGAGTTGATCAACAAAATAAGTCTCCAGCTAAATTGACTTGCATCCTTCCTGCCCAGCTTTGTTCTCAATGATCTTTCTCTTGGACGAGGAGAACTGGTCTGCATTACCTGGCCATTCTACACATTGCTTTCCAGAAGATTTTTGCAAAACACTGGCCTCATCTTGTCCCCACCCTATGTAACACCCTCACCATTGCCTGCTACATAACTCCTGTAAGTAGAAGTCTTTCAATTTTTCAACATTAAAAATGCCTTAAAAATGATAATAGAATATATATACACACACACACGTGTGTGTGTGTGCGCTCATTCATGTCTGACTCTTTGCAATCCTATGGACTATAGCCCGCCAGGCTCCTCTGTCCGTAGGATTTTTCCAAGCAAGAATACTGAAGTGGGTTGCCATTTCCTCCTCCAGTGAATCTTTCCAATGCAGGGATCGAACATGCGTCTCCTGTGTCTCCTGCTTGGCAGGCATTTTCTTTACTACTGAGCCACCTGGGAAACCCATATATATGCACTACCATATATAAAATAGATCACTAATAAGGATCTGCTGTGTAGCACAAGGAACTCTACTCAGTATTCTGTAATAACCTATATGGGAAAAGAATCTAAAAAAGAATGAATATATGTGTATAGATAACTGATTCACTTTTCTATATACCTGAAACTAACATAACATTGTAAATCAGCTACACTCCAATAAAATTTTTAAAAAAACAGTCTACTGGGAAAAGTTCATTTCAACTCCCTGTGATATCTACCATCTCACAAAAGAAGTTCACCATTTTTATTGGTATTTTCTGTTTGTTATTTCTGTTTAGTAACTTAGTGGAATACTCAAGTTTTGGTTAATATAGATTGAAAATAAAATTATTGTCAGTTAATGCCTTCTGCCTGGTCACCAAATCTTACAAGCCAGGGGCAGAGCCTTGGGGCAGGGCATAAGAGAAGAGGTTTATTACAAAGGGTCTTTGATATTGAAAAGCCTGGAGACCACTGGCTCACAGGTTAGGGTCCCAATTCCTTGGTATGGCATTCAAGGCCCCCTTCCCCTTGCAACCTCCTCCTTGTGCCATGCCTCCACATGGGCCCCATGCTCCAGCCACAAAGGCACACCTCTGGGCCTTTGCTTAAGCTGATCCTTCTACCTTAAGCTGCTCTCCTCCCACTTAATTTCAGCTCATCATCCTTCATGGCTGTGCTCAGAAGCCCTTTTGGAATTAACATTCTCTCCCTGGAGTTCCCCAAGGTCCTTTACACTTCACTTGTGGCCTGCGTCAGATCAGGCCTTATTGCTATTTATAACACTGTTCCCTAACTCCTGAACCCCTGGAGGGCAAGGACCAGAGTTATAGCAATGTCATTATAGCCCATCCTGGGCCTTGGCCATAGTAAAGGTTCATTGAACACGAGTTGACAGGGTTGAATTCCAGAGCGTGGTACCATTCTCTGGGGAGAGCCATGTGCATGAGATTTATTAAACTTAGCTTTTCCTCTGATCAAGGTAACAGCTCACAACAGAAAACTCATTCAGAAACTTTGGAGCAAACTGCCTTGGTTTGAGTCCCAGATATGCCACTTATTAGGTGGTGACCTTGAGCCAGTCACTGAACCTTGCTAGGTTTCCGTTCACTATCTGAATCATGGGTGTGAATCACTAACTCCCAGGATTGTTGTGAGGCGAAAATAACAGTAGCTTAAAAACGTTCGTCACATAGTAAGCTTTCGATAAATTTTATTTCCCTGCTACTATGAGAAATGAACTTGGTAAACTCAATAGTCCTGGGCTACTTCATTCATAGAAAAGAAAACTTTAAAACTTTACGCTCCTACTTCCAAAGGAAATGTTGGATTTAGCATTTAGAGCTGGAATTAGGCTTCACACCTTCCCTCCTCTCCATCCCAAACTTAACCCATTACCACTATAATTAAATGGTTTTGCTTCAGCTCACACCCAAAAACTACACCCTGACTTGTTTTCAAGAAATTCCTGGACCTCATCACATGAAGGGAACGTTTTGCCCCTCAGAGTTATCCAACTGAGATTCTGACCTTATTTCTTCTTTAAAGAACTTCTTGCAAATAGATGTCCCGATGCAGGCGTTACATTTATCAAGACCGAGGAAAGTCCTTCCCAAATTGTAGCTCGTTCGGACTCGGGACACCGGAGAAGGAGAGGGAGAAGCTGAGGAGGAGACAGAGTAGCTCAGGCCGGAGACCCACAGCAGCAGGAACGGCCAGCCCAGGTGGAGGGCGGCAGCTTTGGGCCCCAGCCGGGGCTCCATCGCAGGCTCAGGATTCCAGCTGCACCCACTTAGGGCTGCGCAGAGGCAGGTCTTGGCAAAAGAGAAGGGGCTGGCTTTAGGGCGCTGACCCTATCCCAGCTTCACAGGTTTCTGCTGGAGGATGCTAAGGACCTTGGGGCTAATGAGGTTGGGGAGGAGGTGAGGAAGTCCGTGGAGGATGCTGATAAAACCGTTTCCAGAGTTACTCTTCCTCTGCCCCGGGGCGGCTGCTACAGGCTGGGGAGGGGCTGAAGGGCAGATTTCGGGATGGACAATGGCCAGGGCCTCCCTATGCCGTCCTTTTGACAAACACAGGATATCCTGGCTGTGCAGGAAAGGTCCAGGCAGGATGTATGTCCGACCTGGTTTCCACCTGGGAGTTTTAAAGGATCCTGAAAGCCTCCACCCTCCACTGTTTTAATTCTGGGTGTATCTATCCCTATGGATCACACACATACACACACACACACACACACACACACACACACACACCCCAACCCCTCCCCAGCCCCCTGCCGTGGATAATTCGGCCTGCCCCTTCACCGGCCATATTTGGCTGTGAAAGAACTAGAAGTCAGTTCACCAGCCATTAAGCAGCACATTTTGATTTGAAAGGTGAAGCCTTTTTACCGCTTAGGGCAGTGGTCCCCGACCTTTTTGGCACCAGGGACTGTTTGGTGGAAGACAAATTTCCCGTGGATAACGGGGGTGGGGGGATGGTTTGGGGATGATTCAAGCACATCACATTTATTGAACAGTTTATTTCTATTAGTATTACATTGTGCTATATAATGAAATAATTATACAGCTCACTGTAATGGGAGCCCTGAGCTTGTTTTCCGAGCTTAGGTGGTGACAAGAGTGATGGGGAGTAGCTGTAAGTACGGGTGAATCTTTGCTTGCTCACCCGCTGCTCACCTCCTGCTGTGTGGCCCAGGTCCAAACAGGCCATGGACTAGTTCTGGTCAATGGCTAAGGGTTGGGGACCCCTGGCTTAGGAAACAGAAAAACTCAATAGAGTTTATGCTTCAGCTCCTCTTGCCTATCTGAGAAGAAAGGAGGGGAAAGGACCCAATGGCCTCTGGTGTGATGGGGAAAGCACCAGAAAGATCCTTGTACCTGCACCCAGTTGTGTTTACCCTTCTCCCCACTTACCTGAAAATCCCTCTTCCTTTAGCTCAGTTGGTAAAGAATCTGCCTGCAATATAGGAGACCCTGGTTCAATTCCTGGGTAGGGAAGATCCACTGGAGAAGGGATAGGCTACCTACTCCAGTATTCTTGGGCTTCCCTGTTGGCTCAGAGGGTAAAGAATCTGCCTGCAGTGCAGGAGACCTAGGTTCGATCCCTGGGTTGGGAAGATTCCTTTGCAAAGAGTATATCAACACACTCCAGTATCCTGGCCTGGAGAATTCCATGGACTGTATAGTCATGGGGTCACAAAGAGTCGGACATAATTGAGTGACTTTCACTCCCTTCTTAATGGCCAGGCTGACTTGGTGGGACTGGATGCCTCAGGATGGCCTTCCTCCTGACACCAAGATAAGGTCCAGAGCATGAGGTAGATGGTCGTGCTAATTAAGGCAGGCTTGGGTTGAGAGAGGGGAAAGGGAGTCAAGAAGAGGCTGGGGATGGCCTCTGAAGAACTGGGGAGTTTTGCTAAAGATTGGTAGGAAGAGCAGGCTAAGGGCAGTTCTCTGATGGTTAAGCATGTGCTCATTAGCTAACTGTATAGCCTCCTCAATGAAATGTCATTTTTTTTGTTGTTGTTATGAAGTTGTGAGAATTCTTTATATATTCTAGACACTAGTTCTGTGTTGGTTAGGTGGCTAGCAAATATTTTGTCCCAGGTGGTAATTTCGGAGAAGGCAATGGCACCCCACTCCAGTACTCTTGCCTGGAAAATCCCATGGACGGAGGAGCCTGGTAGGCTGCAGTCCATGGGGTAGCGAAGAGTCGGACATGACTGAGCGACTTCACTTTCATTTTTCACTTTTATGCATTGGAGAAGGAAATGGCAACCCACTCCAGTATTCTTGCCTGGAGAATCCCAGGGATGGGGTCACACAGAGTCGGACACGACTGAAGTGACTTAGCAGCAGGTGGCAACTTGTCTTTCATCTTCTTAACAGGGTCTTTTGCATTTATAAAAGGTACAGAAATACCAAAAAATGGTACAGGGCTAAGTACAGATCCCTGGAGAAAGTGCTAGAAATGATGTTCTAGATTCAATGTGATTTAACAAAACATATATTACACCAGGTTTCTCTGGTGGCTCAGTGGTAAAGAATTCACCTGCAATGCAGGAGGCATGGGTTTGAACCCTGGGTGAGGAAGATCCCCTGGAGAAGGGAATGGCTACCCGCTCCAGTATTCTTGCTTTGATAATCCCATGGACAGAGGAGCCTGGAGGGCTACAGTCCATGGGGTCGCAAAGACATGAGCAACTGAGCGCACATTCATGTTACCTCAAGGCTTTAGTTTAGGTCCTGCAGATGGTATCAGCAGGCGGGGGACCAAGAGCTCAGGAAAGTTGGTCATGGATAGTACAGCAGCAGCTTGCTACACCAGGGACTTGATTCAGCTCCAGATATCAGGCACTGATTAGAGTTACTAGCTGTTCCAGTGTGCCCAGGGCTGTCCTGATGTTAGTCTTAAAATCTCAGGTAACCCCTTAATCTTGGGAAAACTCAAATGATTGATCACCCTAGTACTGGTAGACCTCCCATACGAGGTATATGAGATGACATTTCAGGTGTGCCATTTGGCTATTAGACTAAAAGATAACATTAAAGGTTGGAGGTCTTGAGAGACACTTTGGAAGCAGACCTATAGATATCACACACACACACACACACAGAGGTTTTTAAAAATTTAGTTAACTTTAACATCTCATTCATTAAGTATTGTTCTATGAGACCATTTATAAATACTCTATTCCACTATATAGGTATAGCACAATTATTTAACAAATCCCTTGTTTTTGACACTTTGGTTGCTGATGGGTAGGATTTTGACAGCAGAAATTCCTCAGAATGATGAAAAACAGATTTTTTCCTCACTTCAAAAATGCCATGAATTGTAATATCCACTATCAATTGAAGTAGCAGCTTTTTAGAGGAAAAATATAAGAAACATGATATCAAGTATCCATTTAAAAATGATCGAGCAGCGATGGCCGAGTGGTTAAGGCTTTGGACTTGAAAAATGATCGAGATTCTCTTTATAACTTTAAGTATCTGCTACTTCCCTTTTTTGAATCCTGACCAAATTTTGAAAGTGTTTTTCACATTTGGAGTCTGAACATTTTCCTGAGTTGCTTGTTTCCATGGACTCACTGCTTTTCATAATGTTCACCTGATTCTCGGTCTCTTTGGTACATTTAATTCAGTGACATGGCAAGTATAGCAGGTAAGATTTTCAGTCTACATATTCATATGTGAAGGCATACAACTTTACATTTTATAATTCAACCTGATTTCTACTTTGAGCTTTCCATTCTGGATTACTGGAAAAACTTAGCCTGGTTATTTCTTGAGTTCTTCTCTCCTCTTCTGAAATTTCTTTGTGGCTCTGTGGGATTTACTCAACATTCAGCCACTGGATGGAGATATTTGGTACCACTCTCCCTTCTAACCCCTTCAAACTCTACTTGGGACACATGCTTTAGCCTGCAAGACTGCCATCATGCCTTTAGATGTACCTTGAGTGTCACTTTCTTTCTGGAATTTTGCCACTCCCTTACTCAGGTTCAATCCCTAGGTCAGGAAGATCCTTTAGAGAAGGGAATGGCTACCCACTCCAGTATTCTTGCCTGGAGAATTCCATGGACAGAGGAGCCTGGCAGGCTACAGTCCATGCTGACACAGAGAGTTGAATACGACTGAGTGACCAACAGTTTCACTTTTTCACTTTACCTTTTTTTCCTAGTACAACCAGGAAGTAGAGCCAAGATTCCCTCTCTTTTAGGCCATATTTGCTTTCTTCCCTGCCATATTCTCCCTCTGAGCAAATGAGAAGGGGACTAACTCTCTGCTTGAACTGGTAAGGGGTGGGAGGGGAAGAAAGAGGAAAGGACAAGGGTAACAAAACACAGGTTCCTGTCTTCAAATGATTTTCTGTCACACAAAGTGTAACAGATTGTGCTTTCATGACTTATTTGGTGGAACCATAGTTTCACTTTTTCCCCTAATTGAGTTATTTGTCACTAGAAGTTAAAGATCTTCTCTTAAAAGTCCACCAGATCCTGTGACAGATAGAGTCTTCAGAACCTGGAAACAATTCTTCATGACATATGCTCCACCAGGGCAGAGATCTTCCCCTCTTTTGCTTCAAGCATCCAGAGCAGTTTATAGCATATGCTGCCTCATTTTAAGTAAAAATTAGGTATCCAAAATTAATATACAGCTGTAATGACAATTAGATGAACCGATCCCTTTTACACATTGCAAAATTCTCAGTCACAGGCAGCAAGGAGCCTATCATCACTTCTGCCTTAATTCTGAGGCTGACAGTTTTGTATGATCTTGAATATAAGGTGCTTCCTAATTTCAGAAACGTTGAAGATTTTTTCTTTTTTTTTTAAAAAAATGTGTGACTCAGGATTGAAGAAATCTGCAAGGCAGCCGACAGCCAGCAGGAGGCACAGTAAGAGCAGTACTTTGATTTGTTTAATCCCAGGGGTGGGAGTGAGTGCATGGAATTCTCCAGGCCAGAATACTGGAGTGGGTTCCCTTCTCTAGGGGATCTTCCCAACCCAGGGATGGAAACCAGGTCTCCCTCATTGCAGGCGGATTCTTTACCAGCTGAGCCATTAGGGGGTGGGACACATGGGCAAATGGTAAGATGAGAAGCATAAATGAAGGACCCCACTGAAGGGGCCCTGGCTAGTAAGCCAATGATTTGGAGTGGCATGGAAGGTCAATGTGAATGGTGTGGGCTGGATTAATGTGTGAAGAACACTGGGCAGGTCATGACACGGAGCTGATTTGAAGAAATGGTGCTCAAGACCAAGGAATGAAAGCAAAGGGATGAATGTGAGAGATCATAAGAGATATAGTCTTCATGACTTGGAAACTGAGTCAATGAAGAGAAAAAGGGAGAAGGAAGAA